AAACATACTTAATTCTAACTTAATGTTATTCGTTCTAAGTAGTCTAGTTGGTGAAATATTTTTTAAATAGATGATAGTGACAGTAATACACACAAATTTGATTTTCTATAAACTTGCCCATTGAAAAATCCTGCAGTCAAATTTATGCATTAGTCGAACTTAAAATCTTCTTATTTATTTATTTTTAAGAAAAGTTAGTCGAGTGAATCAATCCTCTAACTCTGTAAAATACTGAAGTTTTTATAAGCATACAGATTTAATAACAGTTAAATAGCAAGTCAACACAGTGGGTGAATTTCTTAACCTAATGATTCTGTAAATAATTCAATGGAGAATGTTGGTAGGAGGACTATGCTTCGCCACGACGGGCAACTGGCGTTAGCAAGTAAGTAGATAAATAATCCAGGGATATTTACAATAAAAAGTGTCTAAGTTTGAGTTACAGCAGAAGAAATTAGAAATCAAATCAAAGAAGATTCAATAAAAAAAATTTGGTGTTGTATGAAAGACTCACTCAAGATTTTGTTATTATTTATTATTTAATTATTTTCAAGCTTATCACCCTTATATTTCTAAAACAGTGGAAACAAAATTCACCATAATTTCAGAAGTCAATTAAGGAAACAATAAAGTGGTTAGTTAACTTAAAAAACTGAAGATTAAATCATACCATCTTCTAAATAAAGCCATAAAATCAATATCAACCTACATATCTTCAATGAAATGATATTTCATTTCGATAGGAACAATAATGAAGAACTTGTCTGATAAATTTTCCACAGTCTATTATATCATTTACTGTTACAACAAAAGTAGTTGTTTTTTTTTCAGGAACTAGTGACTTAAGGACAATTTATTTCAAAAGCCTGAAGTTCAACAAACATTAGCATTACAGTAATAGATAAACAAACGTTTAAGATCTTTAGCTTCTTAGAGAAAATGTATATAGCTCGTTTGTATTTTTAAAAGCAATCGGCAAAGAAAGACTAAGAATACAGATTGGATAGAAAAATAGCATATTCTTGCAAATAGGCACATCTCATATACACGGATTAAGATAGATAAAGCAGAAAATGATCAGAGTAATCAAAACAGTAATACTAGCAGCACTTAAGAAATCAAACGAAATTAACAAAAGAAATATGCCATGGTAGAGAATTAAGGTGTAAAAATATTCTTATAATCATTCTTACAATCACATTAAGAAGTGTCGGATCTAGGTCAATGAAAATAACTTTTAATCTCATTACCCAAAACTATACACCTTTTATCCCAATTGTTTTGCCAATATCAATCAGAAAACAAACATTACACTACATGTGTTCATCCAGAAGTTAGAAGTTTCATGCTTACTGTTTCAACGACTCTGAAACCCGTTCCAAACTGTTCTTCGGTTAGTCAATGTATCCTGTTGAAATAGATAGTGTCTTTTCATGTGTTATATTCATTTCAACTAAACCGTTCAATATAAGTTTCAAATTTCATCAGATAGCTTCAACACTTACTATCAATACACCATCCTTCAAAATACATCTTAAAACTTCAAAAAATCTTGTGGACAGTGTAACTATAACTCAAATATTGAGTTAACATAGAGATTAATAAATAATCACGACAGAACAGATTAAGTCTACAAGAAATGGTATTTAAATGCAAAAGCAGCTCTAATTTGATACAAACGTGACAAAATGCATGAAAACTGAAGAAGTAAATACTGAAAGTTCGATAACATATAATGACTTCATTAAATCGTGTTTGTTAGCTTATTGACTAGTTTTTATCAAATAGCTTTATTACACCAAACGTAAACCAATTTCAAGTTAAGGTTAAAACAAGGTTAAGAAAAATTGATCGGAAAGTGAGGCTGAATGCTTATGTAGTTATGGTGGACTAATAAGGTTAAACAAATAAACTACTCATCAATACATTAATCACAGTTAAAAATCATTCAAACATTATTGCACAAATTCAATCCTTTTATACACGTGAATAATCCTGATAGTTAGGACATTCCTATTCTAAAGAGGCTGTCTGTGAAGCAGAAGCTTAAGATCAAATCCTCACCTTATCTCACTTCACCTTCAGTTTTTTACCACTATGATTAATATCATATTTTATCTCTTCCTCATTTTCTTATGATTTTCTGTTTGGTTTTACATGTTCACTTCAATCTTAATAACTAAAGTAGACCAAAACTTTTAATCTTAGATTGTTGCAATTGATAAAAAATCTTGAAGCAGAACAAACTCATACTATTCCGAAAATTTTATTATACTTGCATTGTTCGAATAGATCACTGTATTGAACGAAAGTTAATTGATTTAGCATGAGTCTCTAGATATGGCCCTATAAATCATGAAAAGCAGTTGTATGAGGCATTATCACACATGGGTCAAAATAGAAGACAGCAGAGATCCTATAATATTTTTGATATGCTTGAATGCTATTATGAGCTCACCTTACTCGGTACACGGAACAAAGGTCAAAGATACACTGACACGATAAACTATTCTAATCCGTTGTCCCCGGCCCTGCTAACTAGATCAAGAAGTCTTGATAAGGCGTAGAGAATGTGTTCTACAAGCACCCAGAAATACAAGGTCACTAGGTACATAAATCAAGCTTATTTATACAATGATAGAAACGCTTTTTGGAGAGCCACAAAATAGCGTGCTAAAAAACTCCGTTAACCGATGACAGTCAAGGATTTCCGAGTGGGAAATGTAAGCTGTAGGTCAAATTAAGTGTCTCTTGGCGTGAAAACACAAAATTCAAGTTTTCAGAATAAAATTACAAAATTAGAACCTTTCCCAAGTGAGTTCTGGGGATCTAACGTCCTCAACAATTTCTCAATGTATTCTTCATAAACACTAAGAGGGATATGGTATATGTGTGTGAATTCGTAGCATATGCGTTTTTCAATTCTCGATTTGTGTGCGGTATCAAGCATTTCGATCATTTTTCCGTTTATTCAGTGGGTGTGTTTCAAATTATTTTCACAGAGGATTTCAGTTCAAACTCTAACTTTCACTTAATCTAATTTTTTTCTATCCAGCAAGTTGTGATGCATTACAGTAGCATGTCTATAGACGATATACAAAATTAAATTAATAAAATGAAGTCTCTAATAAAAGTTATGCTCTTATATGCATTCCTTACTCGCTAACTGAACAGAATAGTGCTCGAAAATCCCAAATATTAAACAGTGAAAAAGATTGATTAACCCCATATTAGTAGGATAGTTTTTTCTTAATTGAACAAAATTTATCTCGATTTTATTTATCTATGTACTTTGTCATTTTTTACTATTTATTCTTGATTCTGTTTTATAGTTTCCTCATTTTCTACTTTTTATTGTTTTGCAATAGAGTTCATCCATTATGTATATCGTGTTATGTATTGCCTTCATTGTGCTAGACACGTTTCTTTTTGTATAGTAAGTAAATAAGAACAGTGGTAAAAGAAAATGTATTATGTAATAAATATCAATGGTCTCAGTAAATATTTTTCTTGTTTTAAATAAATGAATACACAAACATTCCTAAGTATTTTTTAAAGTCTTTTGTTAGAATTAAAATGCATATAATTCATGATTAATATGATATGACTAAAATTCATGAAGTCACTGACAAGTGGACTGAGCCATATTGGTAGGTGTAAACTACCTGATTGGGATCCGCGAGACGATAGCAACCGATGGTTGCAGACATTGAATGACATGGTTCTAAATCGTTTGAAATCGCACAGGTTCATCCACTCTTTGTGTTCTCCCAAATTTTAATATTCTGAATTCTTCAAGTCCCTTTTTTCTCTTTCCAAATTTATTTCACTGAATTATACTCCTTGAATAACATCTTTAAACCCTAATCTTTCCAATTACTGCTTATATTTTTACTACCTCTGTCAATATGAGATTTGAATCGACAATTGTACCTTTATGATAATATAGTATGGCAACTCCAATAGATGTACGTACGTACGAAGTTCTACGTTGTTGCTGACTGACTGAATGACTGAATAATTCTTTTCATTTGTATTGTTATAACTTGTATTATATTTTTATATAGTAGATTACATTTAATAATTTCGTAATTCATTCATAAGCATATTGAATAACCATATAAGGTTTTCTACAATAGATATTTTATCGTAATAAAATAAAAACTGAATGGTATATACCTTTCTATGGTATAACTAATCATAATTTAGTAAATGAAATCATTGCTAAGTAATGAGAGTGCTTTTTACATCCATAGTTGCATTAAATTATTCAATTGTCTATGTTAGAATGTGTTAATGTAATAGTGTAATTTTTATTGAAATACATGATATAAACTAAAATATAAAAATGAATATTTACATAAAAATTAAATAAATGGAATGTTTATTACAAGAATTACAACACTCAAATCATTAGTTCTGTAGTGAACAAGAACACGGGTGGGGACAAACGGATGTATTTAACACGAAAATTACAGACTATCTCAGCAAAATCTGAATACCATAAAGTCAATCATCAATTTGCAAATTATCAATACATCATATCAAACTGTACTGTTCAAGTTGCAAACACTAATCCATTGTCTCCCATTCCATTGTTCATAGGTTTTCTTACAAATTCCATTATGTTCTTGCTCCACCTTTCTTGGTCTTCGCCATCTTTTGCTGCCGAGCATTACGTTCTTTTAACGCACGTTATATACTACTTATGTCAATATAAGTAGCTCACACCACAGTTCCTGATACAATTAAATGAGCCATAATATTCACCATCGAACTGCATTAAATCCAGCATGGAATACATCTTTTTTACTGACGTATATACTAATCTAAATATTCAGTAATTATTGCTTTAACGTAATTAACAGATTGCATATCACTTTGTACACTTTAATTAGTGAATAATTGTTATTCTGTGTCAAAGAATTTTACCAAATTAAGCGAAATAATAAAAATTATTTTAAACAAAATATTTTAAAATTTCTATAGTTAACACTTACAATACGATTTTCAAGGTTTGCTGCCATTGTGTGTATATTATCAAGCAAACGTGATTCTAAGGATCTTTTTTCATCTTGACATTGTTGAATAGATACTTGAATTTCATTCTGTAATTCACTGATCTTTTGTTGTAAACGTCTTTCAACATCGGCAATTTGTTTATATAATGTCTCCTCTAAACGCTGAACAGCGGAGTTAAATTTAACATTATCACGATCAATTTGATTTGTTATTTCGGCAAACTATGAAAGTTGAGGAAAATAAATAGTGAAAATGATAAATTTTGGGTATATTAAGTGAATTCAAAGACCTAAATTTGTGCTACTGTAAAACATTCTTATAGTCATTTCAAGGCTAAAGTAATGCTCCGTGGAAAAATATTAACTATCACCCTATATTTCACCTGAAGCCGTTAAGCCCGACTTTTTGACTATTATAATATAACCATAAAAGTTTACGCTGCGCGAAAATATTAGTGGTAGTTCAACTTTTAACTTTATGTTATATATTTTCTGGGTTTGATGCAAAATAACTGTAATCTTTACTTGGCGCTAAGTCAGTCATATGTATCGTGAAACATGGCGTAATGTGTACTAGTTTAAGTTACTACATCACGTCAGCACAACAAAACGAATTTATCAAGGTGAGGACCAAAAAGTTAAAAACAGTAGTATTTTTGATAGTAAAAGAAATATTGCTCATAAGGAATATGACTTGAAAAGAGCGAATGACGCTTCAGAATAATCAGTACAGAGTAATGTTGAAACTTAGGATAGAAGATAAAATAAAAAATAGATGAATCTGAGCCATGTCACTCAATATCTCCAACCACTGGTCACGAAAATCGGGTGAACATAAACTAGGTGCATTCGACTTACCAACATGAATTAGTACAACAATTAGTAGCTTCATGGGCTGATGCTATATTTTGATTTGGCTTCTTGTGATTTATTTCTACGGCAGACAACATTGAGTGTCGATGTAGGTGGTGGTCGTGAATACTTAAAATATGTCCCACCCACTTCGGCCGATAAATATTCATTAATTCATTAACCTAGTTAGCTTCTTTGCCTTGTACCTTGGGTTCGGTTTCCACATTACTCACTCAGTGCTGATAATAAACTCGAGATATCGTTCGAAGTAGACTATTATCAATAATAGGAACCTAAAAGATCCTCTACTATTAAAGTTCAGACTTCATAGTCATATAGTAAAACATGATGAGCTGCTAAACAGTATGCTAACCTCTTCTCATCCGCAGGAGAATACCTCGCCTATGCCACAAGTGACGCAAGTTGGCAAAAGCCAATCGGGGTTTCTGAATCCGTCCGGAGATCTCATCGGACTCCAGATAACCAGAGCTGATGAAACTTTTAGTTACTTCACTCGTATAGGCCAATCTAGGCGATGATACTAACAAATCTCGAAATACAACCGATTATACGATTCAAAAACTGCCATAACAGAGAAAATTAGTTTTCTATCATCATCTGAATCTCGAATACAGGTCTAATTTTGCGGTTTCTTTTATTGAAACTGAACTGTATTTCTCAGTAAGTGGGTTATCACTAAGATTGGTGAGATCACCTCGACTTCTAAGATTTTGATGATCCTGCTAGTTTACACTCCCTATATCAAAGTCACTTGTGATGATTCACACTAATACACACTTGCATCAGGTCGTGCAATGCTTTTAGCTGACTTAATATTATGAAACTGGAAGGATTGTTAAGAAGGAAGCAAAAAGAGATAGGCATTTGGGAAATAACACTATGCTTATCCAATATAAATGTTATATTACTGCCTCGCTTTCAAAGTGGCCGATCACATACGTTCGAGTTTCCCTCCTAAACCTCAAAAAACATCTAGAAGTTAGCTACTAATAAAAATAAAATAATTATTTTATAAAAGGCACCAAGTTAAATCAGTTTATTCAGTACAACAGACAGGAAGTACTACAATGCTATCAAATAACATTTAAAGTTATGTTTCTCCGCTAACTACTGTAGTAACACAACCTAACGTTATTTGACTTTTATCAAAGCAAGAATTGTTGTCTATATGTGATGAAACTAACAAATACACCATATATAAATGACTAAAGTACAGATAAGTAGTCAGACAACATAATCTTGTGTACTATAAACGTGGTGAAAGGAAGAATAAAAGTAGGATTTACCTGAAGTAAGGTTACATTTTCACAAATTTTACTTCTAGGAAACACAAAAATGTTATGCTTCACTGGACTGCGGAAAGTAATCCAGTCAAAAAAGGTCTGACGAAAATGTATTCTTATTTTATTACAAATGCATACAAACAGACAATAACTTAGAAAATGTAGAATTTGTTAAATTATTTATAAATAAAAGAGAACGGAAAATATCAATTCATAATCACTGAAATAGAGAAATCAATAAAATATAAGAGAACGTAAGATGTAAAAAATGAAGGTTAAATAGGACTTTGAATACAGTAAGAAAGGCTAATAATCACTTTATTCTGGTAATTTAAATGTCTCCATTATTTCTATGGAAGATATTAATACCGATACTCGATTAGATAACTTCAAATAAATTAAGCACTGATTAGATTGTTAATAATAATACGGTGATCTATATATGATATTCCAACGGTACGTCGGAAATTCAAATTTCCACTCATCGGAATATCACTGATATATCATTATTATGTTATTCCTGTGAAAGGGCTTTCCGATTCAGAATGACTTGTAAATCAAATTTTATTGATGTTAGTACCGTCTTAGTTCGTAATGTAACACAAAAACCGTTACAAAAATGGACTGTTTTAAATAGAGATACATGGGGCAGCTGTTCTGCCCTACCGTAGAGCTTCTTTTCAAGTCACTAATAGAAATTTTAAACTGGTTCATCCATTTTCAGGTTTCATTGTCAGCTTATAGACTTAAGTAGACAGGGAATCCAAACTTCATGATTTCAGCTTATTCACAAGAACGTCTAGCGATAGTGTTCGGAAGGCTAATCTCGGTTACACTCAAAACTATGAATGTTTACAAAAGCCTCGTAAAGCTTGAAACTTATGAGTAATAAGAATAATACGGTGACATTTAGAAAGAAATCTATATTAAATCGACCCTATTTGCTTGAAGCACTGACGATTGCTCAGTTAATCACCGTAACGGTTTCAATGGTTGCGAATAAAAGCTTAGTATAATCCATGAATCATTCACAGATTACTGAAGACTTTTCTACTGTCTGGTAAAAAAGAACATTCTATTTAACTGTGGGTTAAAATTATGTTTTTACTGATGATAGAATCACTGAGAAAACAACACTGGAATTAGGTATAGGGTAGTGGGAGGATATGGTAAATCGATTAGTGAGGCTGAAAATGTTTTTCGACCGAAGTTGTTCCTATAGGTCTTACATATCCATATGTAGCATATATCGACGCACATGCCAGAAAGTATAGAGATAGGTCTAAAAAGGCTACATCCTCACAGATAGAAATATAACATCAGACCATGAAGCCAATGACTTTTGGTGGCAGTTGCGTTTGAACTGGGTAATTTCCTGACTGAAGAATACAAGACAATTGTAATCAAGATAAACTAATCCATTCTTTACCTTGCTATAAATCTTGGGGTTAGCAATCTTCTGTACTTCTTATTGCCCGAATTTACTCATTTTTATTTTAAGTATTTCATATAATACCAAATGAAGACACTAAACTAACTGAGAGATGAACAAAACCTGAAGACTATTAGATCTTTCTTACCTTATGTTCATGTAATTTAAGTTGACCATTCAATTCATTTATATCATGTTTATGAGTATCTACCAATTGGCGTACTTCTTCAATTGTTTGATTTGTTCTTTGTGATAATGTCGATATAGCTTGATCACAACGCGTTATGCGACTTCTGTGCACACATTTTTTTAAAAATTAAACAAATAATTAAAACGATTATTTATTTATGTTTTCTTTAAAATTTAGTGTACAGCAGTAGACTTATCAACGCAGAACTTATACAAAAGAATGAAGAATAAACTAACATAAAAAACTTAGACTTCGGTTAGAGAAATAAAACTTGTTAAACTTTACACTTGGATGATAGCAGTTCTATAGCCACAAATAAATAACTAAAAAACATGAAGTTCAGCAAAGTGATCTTTTAGCAACGAATTTATTATCAAGATGTACATTTGTTTATTTTAAAGTACCAGTTCCGTGAAGTCGTATGACATACACTTTTGTGGAGCTAGATACATAGGATGTAGCCAGTGCTTGCTTTCAACTCGGTCACGAGAACGTGTCCCCAGGTGGTTCTACAAGAGTCAGAGGAAAGCGGTCAGAAGTCCCATTCTTCAACATCTAATCGACTCTAATCATTCTCCCGATCTACAGATTGACTCCAAGGTTGTGTAAACAATTCGTTCAGACCTACCTAAATTCCTTCGTATCCAACTCCTTAAAACACCATCCATGAGCTCAAGCCAAAATTATACCTACAAAAGAAGTACGTCCTATCTTTATCATTACCTTGACCTTAATCTATCTTTAATAATAATATTATTATTGCATTTTGTAATACTCTTCTTCCTTTACTTATGTCTCATATCCTCGTGATTGTATTCAAAATTGTTTTTGATATCACTTCATTTAATTTTGCACCTCTATTACCTTTAATTACCCTCAATTATTGTAAAAAAAAAAAAACATTTTAATCATCTTGCTGCATTCATACTATAATTCGATTCTAACTTGTTAATTTTGTTATTCTTATTCATACTACGTAATCTAGTATTATAATATTATAATTGCACCATCGTATTTATATTCATATATCCTCAAGAAACGTAAAAACATTTCATACGTATATTAGATTGTATAGCTTGATAACAAATTCGTTGAAAACAGATCTCTTCGCTGAACTTCGTGTTTTCAGTGTTTAAACAGGAACTATAGTAATTAGCCATTAAACTTTCACCTGTAAAATGATAGTTACCCACAAATTGATTACTGAACAGTAACTGATTTTACCCTGTATACTTTATACTGCTAATCGAATCCAATCACTCAAGTCGTATTGTGACCACTAATCTAGATGACTTAGTATCACAGTGCATTTAGTTTTATATTAGATAAGGACGGCTCGCCGAAACCTCATAAACATTTCCTGTTAGAACTTGTCGGTAAGTTGTATTTTCAGTATCGTGAGAACTTACACGTCTTAAGGGATCGGAATCGCACCTATTACTATTAAGCAATCAACTGGTATAATTACTTATATATTGTTTAAATATTATCAAGTAATTATATTAGTACGATATGTTTCAATGAATCCTATTTGATGAAATTATAACGTATTTATCTAGTATGTACATTGCCTCCGATCATCTGTTTTCATCTGGTGATGTGTTCTGCAATCTAGTTAGTTTTAAACTGTCTTCCCTTTTAGTCTTCAAATGTCCTGCACACGTAGTGATGTTTGAGGTACTGAAATTCTTCTCTCAGTCTGTCGACTGTGTTAACTTACACTCCACGTTCCGATAAATTTTGCTTGAAAGAAATCCTATTAGTAGCATTCATCAGACTACTGCTGTAGTAAAAAGACTTTCAGTGACTCTCAAACTGGAATCCTTGGCAGAAAAATTGATAACCCAGTCAGCAAGTAAAACGATTTCGTCCAGAAAGCTAGCTTTATATACAACATGTACGTAAAATCGAACGACAATCTAAAATGACAAATAAATAATTTATAAACAATAGTAGATATAAGCATTTTTATAGTTTGCTTTTTGAATCTAATTGATTTGAAAACAACAAATCTTAGCACTGATCGCTTTTCTACTCCGTTTTTTTAACTTTTTTATAGTACATTGATAAAGTGAATCTTTCACAGAAAAGTGTGTAAATATTTTGCAAGCTTTAATATATCAATAATTTTATATTATGGGCCTTTACTAAAACTTTTAAAAAGATCACATTAAATTTGAAAAATATATCGAATAATTGTGACCAAAACTTATAAATAAACTCTTTCCTACTGTTCCTAATTTTCAACGTACTCTAAGTAAAATACATTTTAAAAAGAAATGAAATATTAATAGCCCTAAGAATATGGCTCACCTTACATCCGTTAAGCTAGTTAAGTGATGATTTTCTAAATTTTTTAGATTTATAGCGGCATCTTTAACCGTAGACCATTTATCTCGTACATTTTCTTCAAATTTCTTTTTTTTAATACAAAGTGAAACAAATACATTATTAAATAATGTGAAATTTTACACTTTAAATAAAACGAGAAACATTTAATTGAAAGTTAATTTGAAGCTTACCTAAATAATTAGATTATCAATAATGCATTAACGTTTTACCATGACCAGAAGTATTTTATGACAGCAGTGGGTAAGATAGTCAAGAGAATAAATAAAGTAGAAACACAAGAGTTTGATCCAAATAATAATAGACAGACGCATTGAGTAGAAAATAAAAGAAAGAATCATCCACTTTACAAGGAGCAATCTTAAAACATATAAGATTTTCAGTTACAACTTAATACCTTATTAGATTAGGGTTGCATTTTTCTCTACTCCAAGTTTACCACACTTCAAAAAATGTTTCCCTTGATTTATATCCTATCATAAGGTGTCATCTTAGTCAAAAAGGAACAATTTTCTTGTTCTAGCTTGATATGAAACTAAAGGATTAGGCATTTTCAATGTGACAGTCTGATCAATACATGTAAGTAGATGTGTAAGTAAATAATATGACTATTATATTGCACATGATTATTTTTTAAATTATATTTTATTGATCTTCTTCAAAAAGCCTTATGCAGGAAAATATTTTGATATGCTTTCGCCAATATAAAACTCATCCTATGCATTTCATCAATAAACTTATATCGTCTCTGTTATGATGAACAATAATTAGCAAAAGTAAAGCCTAATGTCGCTTTTGTTACGAAATTTTTAAATCTATGGTATCGGTGGCAAACTTTAGTCCCCTCTGTTAGTAAAGATAATGGTTTAAGTTAGTTTCTGGGCATTAATCTCACACTTTTTAGTGCTCAGCCAAATTACAACTATGCAGGTTTGAATTTGGCGACATTTTTTAACCGGAAAAGCTTGGCGTAAGGGACCTGATATAAATTATGTCTAATGCATGTAACTGCATATGAAGGTTCTTTTTAAGACTTTCCATAGATTATTTAAGTTATACTTAGTTATAAACAGTAAATAATCTGTTGTTACCGTTGCTGGCACAAAATGTGAGGTGAACATATTTATATCAATTTTTAAGTATTGATTTTGAGTGAATATATAGAATGTATGTTTGATGAGTTTTCTCATCTGTTTGTTTTATGATCCTTTGAATCAACATGTCAACCAAAACTCTCAGATAAGAACGTTTTTATTGTAAGTAAATCCCAGGGTGATTAATCTTCTCAAAAATACCATTTTTATTAAAAGCTATAGCATACATATTTATGAAGATGATTCACTGATTCCATATCTATATTTATTTAACTTTTGCTTGCTCACTCTTTAATTGACTTATTGCATCCTCACACATTCTGAGGTTAAAATAACATCGAAATCTGACTTTGTATTTGTTATAAAGTAAAAAATGTAAATCTTTGCAGTAGGAGTTTTTAGACATGTTTATTTTATATATAGGTTCAATTTAGGCTTCAACTGATTAGATGCTATCACTAAAAAATGAGAAGATATCCCATATGAAATTCGAAATTGTCAGCATTATGAAGAACTCACTAACCAATATGTGTGTACTTATTTATAAACAGGCTAGGAGCTGCCAAGCATATCGAGATAAAATATGTATCCTGAGGACTTTCTAAAATGAATATGGAAAAAGGGATAACCATGTATACGAATCTACCGTGATCAAGGGTTTTTCCAACGATATTGTTTGTACCTAACCAAACACACAACCATCAACAAACAATGAGAAAAAACTACAAAATAGAAAGCGGACTAAAAATGTTTCATATTCTGCCCCAACTCAATATAAAAGCATACATAGGCAGTCCAAAAAAAGTTAAAATTGAGTTACAGCTGGTAACTGTTGAGCTATTTCAAGACACCTTTGAAACGCTGTATAATGTAGAAGGGGATAAAATACATGAGCTTTATTCATCATGTTCATAACATGGAAGAAAACGTAAGTATTTAGAGTACATTGGCAATGGTTTATGAAACCAGAATATAATAGTTCAGCAACAAGTTTCCGGTCTGCAAAACGGAAATCCGTAAACTTCCACTATGTCAACCTAAATGCTCGTTTATTCTCAGTATGTCTTTAAGTTTTTACATTTATAATAATCCTATTAGCGAACTTTCTAACTTTCATTTAAAGAAAATATATTGTTCAGACACTTAGGGAGAAAATCACAAGTAATTTCACTTGAAGTGAAGAAAAGTGGTAGGAGGTCAAAGTTTAGTAACGAAAAGTGTAGTTTGCCACTTGCGTTACGTGTCGATTCACTCTAAAAAAAATCCACCTCTAAAATCATGTTGAGAAGCCAAAAAAATATTAGCCATCAACTGCATCGCTACTAAATGCAACCAGAGGATCCCTTATACATGCATACAATCCTTGATTATCTTATTAAGCAGAAGGGAAGGAACCTAAAATTCATTCTCATAAATAAAACGTTCTGTCAACAACTTACACGAACTTCTAAATCGATTTTCTCAATGCTTTGAAGTAGGGTTTTAATTTCGTTGATAAGAATATCCTTTTGAGACTTCTGTTCGTGCTCCAGAAAGTTTGACCTTTTAAGATGTTCAATCATATCAGCCTTTAGAAGTGAAATTTTTTCAAGTATTCCGACAGTAATTGATTCCTGAACACCTAATCTCCATTCAACTAAGCTCTGACGATCACATTTTGGTATCTCTTTTATATAATCTATTGACTGATGGGGATAAGAAACCACGGATGCTTTAGTTGTCGGTATATGTGGAAGTTCAGTTCTGCTGTGTGCCATCCCAAAAGCAATCGTTCTATAAAATATCACAAACTAAGGAAAGTGAAGTTCTGGTAAGTAAACTAACTTAACTTCTTATTTCAGACGAATTTAACAAATACCACGGTTACACCTGAAACTCACGAAAACGCCAAGAGTGGACATGTAACGCATACCCACAACCCGTGCTTACAAAATCAAATTGGTTCTCTGTGACTATAGCAAACCTGACCGTGAAGATTCACAATTGAAAGATAAGATGTATGATCATTTCGTAATTATTTCACTGTGTCAAATTACCAAATTTTAGTTGGTGCGGATGTGATAAAGTAGCAAAGCATAATATATGTTACGTCTCTAAAGAAATTCACATTTGGAATGACCTGACAAGCTTATCTTGTAAATAGTTTTTAATATTATTTGTATTTATTTTGTTGACCTTTCATTGTATGTATATTTATCATTAAACGACTGTACCTGTTGTTTTAGTCAATGACCTTGAACACACTTTTCCGTTGTGCAACCACATAGCGTGACATACTCTTGCTGGCTAACAAATATACTACTACTCACACATTCATCGTTCTATCTTCGTTTGTGATTGAGTTAACTGAAGTCTAAATCAAATACTATCTACATTTATAGACTGTAATTAGAATATATCACATCCTACATTGGATTATATCACTGGAGAGTTCGTCAACCAGATTGGAACTGCCAAGCATTTATAATTGTGGTTTCTTGGTACCAGACCAAAGCCGAACACGCATCAATTTGGTGAACTTAAGCAAAGTCCCAACTTTCTATTGTATTTGTAATAGTTAGCTTATATATATCAACATTTCTATTGATCTTTACTAACTTTGCTGATACTTTTTGCGTTTATATATCGTCTGGTCCACCACATGTCAGTTAATTTGGTCGTGCATTGGTGCTTATCATCAGTTAGAACATTAGTGCGGATGTTCGCGCCTTGCTTGAAATCCCTGTGTACGTAATCGCTTCTGATCGCTTCGTTCTACCGCTCAGGAGTTTTGATGGCCTATCCGACCTAATATTTTATAAAACCTTAGTATATTTACATATCACAGACTAGTTTCGTATATATTTTAGGAGTCTTCATAATTATACAGTGTAGTATCGAAAGTCGAAATTTTAAAATTTATAAGCATTCTCATATTTCACATATTACTATGAGAAGAATAACTAACAGAAAAGAACTCATGGATTTTAAAGTATGCATACCGAATAACTCGCTGCACAAGTTGGTTGCAATTCATATATAAAATACAAAAAGCGAAACGCATGTAGACAATGAATACGGTAAACGACAAACAGGAGTACGAAAAAAATGTATAATACATAGTCATAGCGACTAACAAGGATATGTTTAACTACGCTGATGAATAAAGGTTACAATTGTGAGGTGCACAAAAAGGAACGACTACAATCCTTTAGTGAAAGAACGTTTTCAGACGTTCCTTTGGAATATTCCTATATAATTTGTCTTCAGAATACGTTGTGCGGTTTGAATACTAGATTTTTATGAACTGAGATCCACAGACGTTGTTATCCTTACAATTATGATCTAGTGGGATTTGATCAGTAAAGCAATTTTACTTTCAGAATAGCGAAACGAATTAATTCTAGTAACACAGGAAGTTTAAAATGTTTCAATTTAATGTTTATCAAACCAACACAAATGATTTCATGAGATTCTAATTTCATATGTGAATTTGGCTCAGGCAAGAAATGTATAGTAGTAGTGCGAATACCAGCAGAGTCATAAGCATAAAATTGAGACCTAAACTAGTGATCGTTCAAAGTGATTATATTCATGTCTGAATTTCCAGATTACAAGACGAGTGGGATAGGAAATTTGCTTACGATACGACTTTAAATCGAACGATATCAAGAGCACGTAAATTTTACAACCGAGTAAGAATCTACTGAGGACAACCCTCCAGTGTTAAATTTTACTAGAAACCAAAGGCAAAGAGTCAGTAAAAGGGAACGAGTGGAACTAAGCCAAGGTCAGAATAATGTGTTTACAGTGTTCAAAGCTTGGTTAGAACAAACGTCTCACAAACCAGGGCCGGGGGTGCTGATAATAGTTTCAACGACTTATTTCTAATACATCATGTTCACATCAGTCTTACAGGAATAATCTATATTCTGCAATATGGGTTTATAAGTGAGGTATTACCTAAGCAGAGTTATTAAACATTAAATCATTTGACTTGTGTGACAGACTATTCGTACTGCTATACCAACCAGAAATTGGTTAAGCCCCTGCGATGGGACTGTACAACTATCTTACAGGTGTTTTAACATATTCAGAACATAAACATTAAGTAGTTTTGATGCCGGAGAACATATATACGGTTTGAGTTTTCTCAGAAGCTCTACAGATCAGATGCCTTTTTTTAATCGTGCTTCCGACAAAAAAGGGAAATTTAAAAGTACCAGGGCTAATGACAACAGAATGTCGGCAAATCCTTTTTGTTCCTAATGCAACAAATCAAGTTACGTCTGATTAGTAGGTTTCACTCTAATTAAAGGCATGCTCTGGAATAATCTATCAATAAAGAAGCCACATACGAATCAATTAAAATAAATAGTGTGTAATAAATGACGACACAATGGAATAGGTCTGAAGTAATGAAGGAAAAACTAGTTGAAAGCGCGTTGAATGCTTAATTATTTCAGAAAAGTAATATCAGAGACTATTGAGGTAGTTTCGGGCTGCGGTTATCTACCAACTGCATACTTTACAACTTCATACAGTAAGCACAACACAACTGTAGAAGTCAGGAAGTAGTTAAGAACTTTCTACACCAATCTTGACCATATACTTATTCTTTGGCTAAACCCGTCCAAAGTTACTTGAGATAGGTCTATAATCATCACAGCGGTTCAGCTGAACATACCATTCATAAAAATCATCTGGTTACAGGTTATCTGGAAGTTTAAATCAAAACATGAATAAAAGCCTTACTGAGGGGTATCATTAAATAGTTTAATTCCTCAGGAAACCCTACATTTCTTTCGTCAGTGGTACAGATTCTTCTAAAACCATGGCTTTTAATACAGTTTACTAAGTTTCTGTCGAAAACCCCAATGATTCCAGATCAATACAACTGACAATACTTGAAAATGTTTTCTACTTTTCTTACTTAACTGTAACTTCCAGGACAGCTTGTATTATTTCCTAAACTGGACTCGGTATTTAATCTTATAAATGGTACGACAACTTCATTTGGGTACATTGAAGTACCGATACCAAAAAAAATCATTACGTTACGTAAAGTAACATTAACAATATAGATGTGCAAATCAGCTTCGAAATCAGATGAAACACTATCAACTGCAACAAGATTTCAAATTTAACGAAAGAAAACGCTGAGCCGAACAGTGTCAGATGATCAGATTTTGTTACTCCTGCCCAATTATGTAAATATTCTTTATAAATTTTCTGTGAAGATGATTATTAACTTGCACAGACATTCTAACTGACGGGTAAGTGCAATATTTGAATATATATTTTGCACTGAATCCCTTGGTCAGTGAGAGCTTTTATTCGCTCCCTAGTATCAGCTAGTGCATTACGAAATAGCTCATCTAAAGTTTGAGTTAATTTTTTTTAAAAAGATTGCATTCTGAAAGCAACAAACAGGCTTGATATTTATTGTCCGCATTGGCCAAGGATATATAGCTGTAGTGGCAAATAAATTACTTATGTGGAAGTTAGCATTCTTCTTGCAGATCCCAATGACCGACTGAACGAATCAGCTTTCAACTTACAAATGTCAAATTGGAAACTGAGTACTGTATATGGTAAGCGATAGGTGTACCTTAACGTGTGTTTACGCAAACCCATTTACTGGATTCGCGTTGTTTCAGATGTTGCCGTGCCGAATAATGGTATACACCTGCAACAGCACCATTACCTAATCGTCGACGCGTGCACATGGAGGTTATTAGATGACAATGCATAATCATCTGTTTGTAATATCTCCTTTTCCAATTGTAGGTTTTCTCCGGTCACTGTTAAGCATGTAGTGTACCTATATTATCAGCGAATACTTGAAAATTACCCCTTTCATGACTGTAGGTAACCCTCGTTCTATTAATAGAAGAAACAAGACTATTAGTTAAAAGGTCTTTATTTAGATCGTATAGCAGTCACAGGATCGTAGGATTACCTGTTCAAACACATAACGTTTTTCAGTATTCAGTATAAGATAACAGGAAATATAATGCCTATACAAAATAAGGAAGTGATTGAATAATTTGGCTCTATTGTAGTGACATATACTCAGTTGTTTGAGGTCAACTATTAACTAATCAATCTAAGGTATTTCATTAGCTTCCCTTACAGTTGACTTCCATACGAACGTCGGTTCGACTAATCTATCAATCAGAAACACCTAATTTTCTCCACAGCCCAAGGTAGTATTACCAACTCGCTCAGTGTTTCCAATGGATGGCAACTAACTCCGTCAACAATCGATGATGGTCTGTAGATGTCCATTCATTTACTAACTAGTTATCTTGTTTTGTAGCATTTAATTTCTTCCACAACTATCGCTGACAGTTTGCTACGTGCGATCTGTATGGCAATCAGAGCTTGCCACTACACCCCGAACTATACCAAACGCGAACAAAGTTTCAGTGTGTAACCAGTAATGTTACGTATCACATCTCGAAAGCGCATCAACTGTCTCCGAAAAAGCTAGGGTTGGTTGGAGGCGAACTTTATTACATCATAGACTTAGGAACCACTCGGCCATCGAAAAAGCTCACGAACATCCACCTTGCATGTGGTAAATAAAAAAGGCACCAATGATTGGCATCCAACAGGTGACTATCGGTGACTGAGTGAGCAATGCTGACTAGTGTTGGAGACGGACGGTAGAAAGTTAGGGGCGGCCAAACCAAAACGCGGCGTCAGTGCTTGAAGTCACTGACTTCTAGTCTGAGCCATTTTGGTTGATGCAGACTACTTGGTTGGGGTCTGTGTGACTATCGTAACCAATGGTCGGAGACTGTGGATTACATGGTTCAAAATCGACCACAATGGTGTACGTTTACACACTCTTTGTTTTCCTTTAAACCGTCAGATTAAAATTTCTTTATACCTTTCTTTCTACCAATTGATTCTTTCTTCCTGTACTATATCCCTGTACATAATGTTTC